ACGTTACAATCACGAAAAGAAGGCGATAAAAGAATATATATATATATATATATATATATATATATATATGTTTATGTATATTATATAATACGTTACAGTCATAAAAAGAAGGCGATAAAAGAATATATATATATATATATATATATGTTTATGTATATTATATAATACGTTACAGTCATAAAAAGAAGGCGATAAAAGAATATATATATATATATATATATATATATATATATATATATATATATATATGTTTATGTATATTATATAATACGTTACAGTCATAAAAAGAAGGCGATAAAAGAATATATATATAACGACAATCTTGGTAATCCGTATGGATAATCCAAAGGAGGATGAAATCCTGAGAGCTCAATGTTAAGTCAGAGCGAATAATTTAATTTAAAGAAAAACAGATCTCTTGTAAGGCTCCATTTGTAATGATTTAGTTAACCAGAGAATTTTATTTTTCTCTGGATCTTCAGACTTCATTTTCAAAAGGTGAAACGAAAAATAAATTTAAAATTTACACATGTGACGGGCAGTATTAAGCTTATATATTAACATAGAGGGTGGTGTGGAATGGTATGAGAGACATGGTCGAGTTTAGAGAGGGAAGGGAGAATTTTAAAATTAAAATAAGGAGAAAGAACAGTAAGATTTATAATCCTCCAGTGTTCTTATTAATTATTTTTATTTTTAAAAAACAGTTCTCAATACAATTCTACAGAGCATAAATACTAATTTAAAAATGTGGTTCCATCGCTACACAGTAATTACCGTGTTTCAAAAACAGAAACTATAAACTTCAGATTTAATTATAGAATTAAATTAAAATCCCTAGTATTGTTACATTTTCAAGCGAATTTTGGAATAACTTAATTTAAAATTTACTGAGTTTTATAAGCAGATACATTCTTTAATATTATTTATTCTTATATTTCTATGAATACGAGGAAATTCAATCATTTTGAAAAGGGGTAGTAGGCTATTCATTTTCACTGACAAATATTGTATCAAAATAAGAGTTGCTTTCAAAATGAGGATGAGTTAAGTTAGGGTAGGGGTGCCTGCTCAACAAATAATGACATCCGTTTTTTCGCATGCCGTCTGATTTTTTTTTGTTTTGTTTTATTTTTCAGTGACAAAAAAGTTTTCGGCACTTTTGCTTTGCTGTTAAATTTGTGAGTGTATACATAAAGTTTTTTTTTCCAAAAGGGCTGTTTGAATATGAGTAAGTCGTATTAAAATACAATTTTAAAATATTATTCCTAATTCTAATTACCAATAGACTATACTTCTTTAGTAAAAATAAATGTATTAGAATTACTTTATTATTTAAAAATTATATAATATCAAATATAAATATGTATGTTTCATTTTTCATCTTTTTTTATTTTTTCATATATTATTTAAGGAAAATCTTTGACAATGTCGGCAAAGAATAGCTGTTTCATTTTTTTGATTAAGTAAATTTTAAGTTTTTTTATAAACCTAGTAATGTATAATTTCTCATGTGTACATATATGTAATTTAATGACCTACATATTCTATCTTTTTTTTTTTTAATTTCCATTTCATACAGGTGTTTTATTGCTTTCTTTTAAGTGCCAGAAATATTTAGATAGGGACGTCTGCTTTCGGTATTTATTTATTCTAAAAGAACTTTGATGTTGGTTAAAACGCTTTTTGAATTCATGTCTTGTGCATCCAACGTAGACTTTTACCTTGTCTCAATAGATGAGATATTGCGTTGGTATACTAATGATTCAGTGTGATATTTATTATTAAGAGGACAGTTTTGAGGATTTCTGCAGTTACATAATTTTTGCTTATCTTCATCTCTTTTTATTATACTATCTAAATTTCTTAGATTTTGGTCTAAGCGTTTACTCAAGATATTAGGATTATGTTTCTTAATAATCATTTCTAAGTTTTCAGTACAACTGTAACTTAAATTTAGGGTATTTTTATTAAAAATTGTACCGAGTTTACTGTCTTTATCCTCAGAACTGTCCTCTTAATAATAAATGTCGCACTGAATCATTAGGAAGCCCTGTAGTTTTCCTTCTATGTTTGATTTCAATACAGTGTCATCTACTATCTTGTACTGTTAAGATTGCGCCCACTGATAATAACTCCTTCTAAAATCACCACCACCTTTAGGATAGCCTTGAAGTAAAAGTTGAATCAATTCGGTGAAAAGACATATTATTGTCTTATGTCCCTTTCTATTTTTGTGTACCTATTCATTTTCTATCCGTATACAGACGGTTTGTTCTCACTATAAGTTCATCATTACTTTAACATCCTTCCCATATAATGCAAAATTTATAGATAACAAAAACATATTTCATTTATACAGTATGCCATATGCATAAATTTCCCCTTTTAATCATCTCATCCCAAGCAAGACTGTAATGTTATTAGTACGCAAGGAGTTACAGGGTTTGAAGGTGAAAGAGAAGTTTGAGAACGAGGAGGATAGTGGAAAGGACAAAAGATGAACGGGATTTAAGAAGATAGAAGATGGCGATTGACGTTGGATTTAAATGTTTGAAGATTGTAATTATCAGGGAAACAAAAAAAAAACGGAAAAGAGTTCTACAGGTGGAAAGTGCGAGAAAAGAAACTCTTGGAGTAGAAGTAACGGTTGCATTTACTTATTTCAATATTAAAAGGTTAATTTATTATTATTATTATTATTACTATTATACATTGTTATTGTACATATTAATATTAATATTTACTCATTGACATTTTATAATCTTCGACAGTTTTTGTTCAGTTCTTACTGTTTTAAATTATCTTCACTTGAATATTGTTTTCTGTTCTCATCTCCATCGCTTAGATAAAAAAATTCTATTGAGTGAATAAATGTACAGGCTGCGTCAATTCCACTAATTTTCTATACACGAAACCATTTTTTTTACTTGGCAAGGTGGGCAGTAGTCAGCTATGGAGAAAGTGGGGGGACATTTTCTTACATGGATCTACACGTGAGTTTCAACTTTTTTTGGTTGTAACCTGTATCACTTTAAATGCTTTGTTCAAGAAATTCCGTCAGCATTAAATGACCCATAAGGAGTTGATATGCCGTTAAACAAACAAATAAATCGAATTCTATTAATTCTCTGCATTTATTGTAATAATTTCATCAAATATCAAGTGACATGTAATTTCACAACCTACGAAAGTACACCAAATCATTATTTCATCTTCACACTGCTATCTTCTAAGTTATATTGGTAATTATTTCCATAAAGTTCCCAACCCATTTACCTGTCAGTTCCATCCAATGGAGCTCTACATTATTCCCAAAAGTTACAGTTTCCAAAGCTGTTTTAATGTTCATCTCACAACTTAGACTTTTCTGTTTCTGATATTAACTGAAGGAAGATTATTTGTTTGTTTTCATGTCTTTTTCCAACTTTCATATATTTTCTCTATATTTTACTTTCGCAAATGAAAAATCGTTAAGTATATTCTTTCGAGTCAATCCACTTTTTATGCAGATTTTTTAAATTTTTGACCAGCTCTCTTTTTATAATATTCTTAATCCCCCCCACACACACACTTTGTTTTCATGTCCCTTTTCCTTATTTTTATCTTTATCTGTTTGCAGATTCTTCTTTTTTGTCCAGCAAATGTTTTAATTGTAATTCCCATTCCTTAATAAATTTGCATTACGATGATTCTGTCTTGGGGTTATATTTCCCTTTCTACCCATGTCAATCTTATATAAATGAAATGAAATTAAAACGTCAAGAAGACTTGTAAATTTGTATATATTTCTACGTAAAGCACCCATTAGTAACAATTTTATACAACTAAAATTAAATCTGTCAGAAAATTTTGTATCATTTAAAATATTTATTTACAATATGATGAACAACCATCGAGTTGCCTAACAAAATCTCATTAAATTTAAGTTCTTGCAAATGTTTTAAATAAAAATAGATATTTTAAACAGAAATGCATTTGGTATGTTTGTAGGATAACTAATCGTAGACCCTGACCACATCGGTTCTTTAATATTAATTTTATTACGAAAACATCGGTTAACAATTAATCTGATTTATTGTATTTAATTAATAAATGCCATTTAAGGAGATAATTCCTTCTTATTTCCAAAACAGATGTGAGGAATGACATGTCACTTCTATGAACATAAAACTGCCAAAATATATTTTAATTTTCCTCTTTATTATTTGCAGCCACTTACTCTATAAGAAGAAAATGGAATTGCTGGATAAGAACTGGATAACAATGCTAATAGAAATGTCTAATAAAAGAAATGATCCAAAAAGATTCTGCTAAATAAGGTGAACATAATTTGAGTTTTCATATAAACTAAATATAAAGAATTAGAAAAACATTCACATCGACTGTCAAGGTTTTGTAAGCGTCTATTATAAGCTGTAATAATTTATCAATCTTTAAAAGTATTTCCTTAGTCTACATGAATTACATTTAATTTCTATGGTAAGACAAATTAAGCAAATGAAGTAAATGTGTGAATAAATTTTTCTTGGTATTATTATCGACTTACAAAATATTTCGTACTGAATTTTGAGTTTATTTTTCCTGCATATTTACAAAAGTTGGAAAACACAAGGAGGGCGTTTTTGAATTATAATAGCTCATTCTATTCATTTGAACTCTTAAGGCTCTTTAAATGATAATACAAATAATCTTGTATTCTTTGTATATAATGAAACACAAAAGGGAAATGAGCAATCACTAAAAAAATTCCGGACAATAAACAAAAAGAACCCATTTTAAGTATTACACAATTGAGTGAATTTCCAAGAATCCCCATGTACTTATATGATAGGATGTAAATTAGATATTCCACACATGAATATTAATTAAAAACGGTGCTTGCGAAAACTATAAATTCCACTGGCGACTAAATTCAGACACTCGGGATTTTCTGACTGAGACAGACTGACAACATTTGAATGAAACTGCGTCCTTCGACAGAAATCGCCTAAGTCCCTATGATGAATTCGCTGGTCGTAATTGCAATGTTTGCCCTGATTGGGTTTACATTTACATCAGCATCTGTCATAGATCGAAGTGATAACGAAATACCAGAATCAGTGGAAGGTAAGTACAGAAAATTGCAAATTTCTAGTTCCTCTCTTTTCTCTCTCTCATATACACATTACACACACGCACGCATATACACATACACATAGATATTTCAATAACTTTGTTACCTCTCTTAACGTTTGCACTTGTATCTACATGATGAAGTTTAAAAGTTTTACAGGACATAATCTTCGTGTTTTCTCTTCACACGTGAAAGTTTAATTTTCAGATGAAGACAACAATTTTATCTTAGAAAAATGAAGAACACAACAATTATTTTCTTAGAAAAAATAAGACCCTGATGACGACATTGTGTTAATGTCGAAAGTGCACGGGGAAAAAAAAGAATATGCATCAGCATGGAAATTTTCTTTCTTCCTTTAATAAGGATACTAAGAAAATTGTCCGTCATTATGAACGGATACTATTAAAAATAAGTAGATAAAATGAATAAATAGACAAAAGTAAATTATTTAACGAAACATGGCTTAATGAAAATATGCTGCCAAAATATACGTAATATATATATATATATTACACACACACATACATACATATATATATATATATATATATATATATATATATTATGCTAATAATTATAAGAAACTTGTTCGTAATTACGAGAGGATCCTATTAAAAAAACAGTAGACAAAACCTGTCAAAATTATTTAACGAGACATGTTTTAATACATATATATATATGTGGGGGGGTGTTTGTGTGTGTGTGTGTGCGTAAGTCTCTTCCGTCGTTTCTTTCGTATGAGTATATATATACAAAAACCAGACTACCCGCACATACGCTTTGATTATAGCTGTGCAGAACAAATAACATTTGTTGGAAGAACCGAATACTAAGAATGTGTCACAGCGTGACACAAGGGGCCCAAAACGACCCAGGGTTTTACAGGAAATGAAAGTGAAAGAAAACTGAGAATAAGGAGGATTGAGGAAATGACAAAAATGTTATATGCAACATTGTTATTCTGTTTTTTAATCAGTATCACCCCAAGCAAATCAGTAGAGTCACTAGTACGCAAGAGGTTACAGGGTGTGGAGAAATTAGGAACAGAGACATCAGTAATGAAGAGAAAGAGAAAAGAGCAATCAGGAGGACACTAGATAGCGATTCAAACTGAATATAAATTTTTGCAAATTAAAGTTGTTTGGAAAGCATGGAGCCTGGAAGAAGTTTCACAAGCGAGAAGTGCGAGATAAGAAACTGTGAGCATAAAAGTTACGATTACATCTAACTAGATCAACTGTAAATTGATGAGATCTCGTTGCCAGTCTAGTATTGCGCTTAAATTCATACAGTCTGGATGCCATAACGAATAACTCATGCGAACAATGAACCTGAAAGTATTTATTATAAAGGCACAGAGTGGCTACCTTACAGCGGTAGGGAAGTGACTAAATCCGAGCCGCCAGATCATGACCAATAATATTGCTGATACTTCTTTGGATCTTATAAAGGAGTTCAAGGAAAATTGTAGGAACACTGGGCCATATGTAAGAGCAATATTCTAAGCATGGATAAATAGTAAGACTTACAGATATACAAGATACATTTTCAGAGAGAAAAACTGTCACGCCCAACACAGTGAACCGATTTTGTTAGCAGCTGATCTAACGATTTATTCAATGTAAACTTTTCACTTCATGTCAGCTGAGAACGTTGGTTCAAGAAGGCGCAATGATTCACTTTCTTGGTGGATAGCATCAACCATGCTGATGGAAAGCAGAGAGGAGTCTCTCAGATGATTAATGGAGATAAATTTAGTTTTGGAGGCGTTAAAATTGACAAGACATTTTTTGTGCCAGTTATCGACGGTTTTGATGTCGTTTTGTACATCAGCTGCTATTTTCACCTCGTCTAACTGATTAGCCTTACTATCGAGGCAGGAAATGGTAGTGTCGTCAGCGTGGATTCTAAGGTGGGAGCTGATGTCATCGGGAAGATGATTAATGAAGATTCAAAACAGCGTAGGACCAAAGATGGAGCCCTGGGGGACACACTCGTTAGTACGAAAGAATGTAGACGAGTGGCCTTTCAGAACCACTTTATTTCAATTGGGAGGTTGAAGATGTCAGTCCAAGAGGCTTCATAAAGAAAGTCTAGGAATGAGTCCCAATCAGTATGCTGTTGCCGGAAAGTGGTCTTATGCATATGGGCTTCCTGTTTAATAGATGATTGGAAGGAGATATCAATAGCTACCACTAAGTGATCCGAGTTACCAAGAGGGCAGTATTGTGAAGCTTGGCAAGAACAGAGAGAGAGGAGATAAGAAATAGATCCAATAGAGAAGCATATTGATCGGTTTGACTAGGGGTCAAGTAGAGAAACCCTCGATTTGAGTGAGGGATTGGGTAATGGAAAAATTTAATGTCTCTATAATATTTCTATAATATCAACATCAGTACATTTAGAATGTTTCAGCCACGTGTTATGGTGTACATTAAAGTTACCGAAGACAAAGATGTTCGCAGATATATGGTGAGAAATTGCCATTTCTATACTGTAAGCTATTGCGTTTTATATCCTGTAATCTTGGGAGAGGGGGAATGGTAAAAGAAAAATAGATTGTTGACAGAGTTTAGTAGCGAAATACGGAAGCGCATTAAAAAGTAGTAAGCTGCATCGAGAGACAATTCCCCGACGATCGGAATCTGACCAAAGTACCAAACATCAATTTTTTGTGAGGAGTATCCCTTATTTGTCTTGTCGAATATTTGTCTTTAATACCTACATATATGTATTTATATGTATTTATATATATATATTTATATATATATATTTATATATATATATATATATATATATATATATATATATATATATATATATATATATATATATATATATATATACACACACACATGTGAGTGTGCGTGTGGGTGTGCGTGTTCCTTTTGTAGTTGGTTTACCTTCGACCATTATTATCGTTTTTTCAATCACAAGCAAAAGACAGGATTTTGGAAGCTGAATTTCAAAGCAGTCTTAGACAACGATTTTACGATTTTTTCTTCACCTTTAAAAGTTAGCACATGAGTGCATTTGTAAATTAAAAAAGATATTTTCTGCGGTGTGTCTAAATTTTATAAATTTCTATCGATTATTCTGTCTCCGAATTTTTGTTTGTTAGACCAAGATAGCCGTGACTGTCACACGACTGAGACACGTTGTAGATCTTAAAATGTAGCAGTCATCTGACCAGTCACCTGTATCGTCAAAATAAAATTTATTAACATCACAATGTTTTCAAAGATGCCTTTTATCCAGGAGTCAGCAACTGAAGCGAATTTTGATTACAATGAAATAATAAAATCAATACAAAATTGAAAACGTAGTAATGTTTTCATTATTTTTTTTACCGATTTATAAATATATACCAAGTTCTCAGTGATTCATCGTAATGTAATTGTTAATGAACTGCTTCTAAGCATAACCATGGCAGATTAGGGAATTTGATCCTCACCGAGTGTTTCATATCTGTACCAAAATGAAAATACGTTTAGCAAATAATAATCTGTGAGATTCTTATTTTGGAGTTATACTGTAAACAATGTTAGTATCTTATTTTTACTAAAGTTTTTACTTAAACGATTTTAAAAAATAATACAGAGTGCGATGGATAAATTGTCGTCTAAGTTACTCAAAAAAAAATGGAAAAAAACACATCTCATTATAACAGATATAATTACCAAAACTACATAAAAAATATCTTGAAATACCAAAGAATAAATTTATTCAATAAGATCACTAAAGATATGTCTAATGATTTCACTTACAAACGATATGGAAAATTATTTGAACATTTGTTAGATGTTTTGTAATTATGTATCTATCTTCCCGTCTGTATGTCTCTTCTTGCTGTGCATAATTCTATGCTTTAAAACTGTTGGGGTGTAATTTTAGTTTCTTCTTAGCATCATTACGGCAAAACCAATTACTTGCTGGTGATCATACCCTCCCAATGTTACATCGGACAAGTAATACTGAATTAAATTACAAACATAGAAGAATCCTTTTGCTGTCTCAAGTCATCTCCATCGACCATCTTAGTATGCCATCAGTTAATTGTCATGACAAGTGGCAATGGGACAGCGTTCACAATATGGAGAGTTATATCACTGCCATGATCATGACATTACAGTTCATGTTTTAGTCTGATATTTTGTACCAATAAGCGTTACACTACTTTGTACCTCCAATTTTAATTCTTTTCCTATTATTTATCTACGCTTTTCATTGCAGTTTACAGAAGCAGTCTTGAAAGTATGCTTCGAAACGTCTCTAAACTAATCGCAGAGAATGCTGACTTCGATGAGAATATGGATATTGACAGCTTTGATCAGGAAAATATGTTCGATGATGAACAGTTTCAATTTTTATCAGAAGACGCAGACGAAGAGGAGGTTGAAGATAACATTTCAAATATCGATGATTTACAATCCGCAGAAGGCGTTAAAAACGGAATACGTTGTTCATGGCGACGAATGGCTGGTCAGTGTTGCCAATCTCTGAAAATTTTCAGACGAAGAGTATCAAGTAAGTATCTATCTATTCATAAAGTTATGATGTTAAAAAATCTTGAAATATTTTTGTTGTTGCACGCAGTACAAAACTTTGTTTAAACAACAAATATGTAAATAATAAAATCACTGATATTAATAAAATTTATTTAAACAAAACTATACATAATTTAGGAAAGAAAATATATTCTTTTTTGCTCTAATAATGAGCTTAGGATATCTATGCACAGTGGCGTAGTAATCATAAGTAAGAATCATATCTTCATCATTCAATTCTCAATTTATGGTGGTTCCTCTTTATTCGATGTTGAGATATAACCTTCAACAAAACGGATACATTTTCAGTTGAATCATTGAATTTTTATAATACCTGAATTTTAGCAATATCTGAATTTTAGCAGTACCTGTATTAAGCAATACCTCAATTTTAGTTACCTGGATGATGAAATATGACTGCAAATTAAGTAACAAGGTCGCTAGTTGATGTACAAATCTTTAAATTCCAGACAAGAATTATTTCGTTTTTCAAAAAAAAAATCTCTTATGAAGACTAATATTTTAACTTATCTGTACCATTAACACTGTAACAGAAAGAAATTCAGAAAGGAATTTGCTCAAGTATTGGTTCACATTTTCTAGTCCAATTATTCTACACTAACAAAAACCATTGATAAAAATGAATTATAAATAATTTCATTAAATCATAAATAATTTTGCATTTTCTTGAAGGTTATTTCATATTTATATTTTATACCAAAGATAAATTATTTTTATATTCATATCTTCGATAGAAAAATAGATGTTCACTATCTAAAACTTATGTAGAAGAGAACTAGTTTTATCTAATATCTTATATTGAAAAGGAATTACGAATTATTAGACGTTAGTTTTAATATTTGTATCTAATCTAAAAGAGATGACTTTAAAGGTTCCTTCATATAAAGAAATACAATTGTCTATTAAAATTTCATCAAAAATATTGCTCCAGTGTCATTGAATATAAATGGTTTCATTCAAAATGGTAATGCTGAATGAGGTACCCGATATGAATGGAAGAGAAAGTCGTAAGAAGTGGTAGTTACACGGTTAGGGAAGTGGTAGTTATGGGGATAGAAAAGAAAGATGACAACTGAGTCTTGATCTAAAGAGGTCAAGATGGAACATTACAAAGTGGTAGTTATGAGGATAGAGAAGCTGACAACTGAGTCTTGATTTGAAGAGGTCAAGATGGAACATGACAAAGTGGTAAATTATGAGGACAGGGAAGAAAGATGACAATTGAAACTTGATTTGAAGAGGTCAAAATGCAATATTACAAAGTGGCAGCTCTTGAGAAAAGGCTATCTGAGTGGACCTTTCTTCTTTTTGGAACACAGAGGGAAAGAGAGTGATTTACCATGAAAATAGCGCCAGACCAATGACGGACTTGCAATGTTTTACAATGTTACACTTTTAAAATAAATAGCGTAAGCCTTTTGTAAAGCTCACATCGAAAAAATTTTTTAAAACATTATATTGTAGTCTTAACTGAAAAACAAAAACATTAAGACGTGATAACTTTCAGAAAAGTTCGAAAGGAAATCAATGATTAATATTATGCACCAACAATGATAATAATAGCGACACATTTCAACGTAAAATACAATAATAATGCCTTTATATAATAATGCTTTTATATACACAATAATAATGCCTTTATATAATAATGCTTTTATATACACAATAATAATGCCTGTATATAATAATGCATTTATATAGACAATATATAGTTAAATGTGTACAAAATCTTCCAACTTTTCTGAAAAAGAACAACGTCAGAAATATTTTAATACACCTTGTAACGACAAAAGTATGCAGGTATAGGCTTTAGGAAACATTTATTCAACTGACAATACGAGGTTTGCGTATAGCGTCGTTTTATAGTTCCAGTAAACTGAAATAGCTCTCTCGAAGAGGAGAGTAACAAAACAATGGGAGACCACTCTTGATTATTCATAACACACCAAATAATTTAATGTGGGAATTATTTTATTAAAATGCTAAGAGAAATCATGATTATTATTTAATAGAATACTATAACCTATATATTTTGTTCTCTTTTAATAACAGTTTGTTTGGGCATCAGAATTTCATCTGCAACTTCTGTTAGACTGTACCTGAGAATCAACGGTAGAACCATCTGGTCCAGGCATATGGGTAAGTATCTGTGAAGTTAATTAAAACACCACTTCGGGCTTATAAAAACAACAGCCTCCTTACCTCAGAAATTAAAGTAAATTATACAAAATTTATAAATTGGCCTTACGATATATATATATATATATATATATATATATATATATATATATATATATATATAGAGAGAGAGAGAGAGAAATAATGAAATTAATAATTAGTAACTATCAAAAGAGTGCGTCAGTAAATTACAAGTGAGATAAAGAAAAAATTCCTGCTCGATACAAAAGTAAACTTGTAGAGAGAATTATATTCTTAAAAGCTAAGACGCTAAAAGGATGCAATCGTGGTTTCAACCATAATAGTTATCAGGCAGCACTTCCAGTGTATTAGTTGTTGACAACATATATAAAGACAGTCACTAATTAGGAGGAGGAAAAGTATAAGGGGAAAAATTTCAATCAGCCTATCTCATCCAGGCTCATAATTCTCTGATATAAACTTCCTTAAGTGTCTGCAGTTTGCCATTATTTCAGATTTTTCATTAAGCAATTCACTGTAAAATGTGGCAATGGCTAGTTTCTTTTACTGACATAAATTGCAAGATCCACCAGTAACCTTTTGCCCGTTCTTGTTGAAGAACCTTCCATTTGATATTGGGACTTTTATTGTATTTTTCTTTAAACTTCCAACAATGGTTTGCGAACCTTGTGTTGAATCGTTGATGTTTGGCCCTAAACGAGAAAGTATGATTATACCATCTCTTTTTAAACTGACCCTCTGTGCAAGCAATATATTTCTTGACTGTACTATTAGCGCTCTCTAAGTCAGAGCAATACTCCAGCCATTGTTTATAACACTCCCCATTTAACGGTCAATTGTCTTTCTTTCTGCAATTACACAAATTTATATTACCACGTCATTGTTATACTGATTCTGCGTATGTTCTTCTGTTAAGCCCCTGAATTATACTATTAACGTTGCTAGTGCAACTGTTGCTCATTTTTACTGTGTTTTTGTTAAACAATTTGATTAATGCAGAACCTTTTGGAAAATGTTTTCTTAAAATCGTGAAGAACATTTTTCCAATATTTGTCTTGACCTTGATGTTAAATGGAGAATTGAACCAAATAACGTAACGCTTTCTTTTGTTATTGTTATTCCTCGGATTTTGTTGGTTTTCAAATTTCAAATTAACTTTGTGACCTTCCTCCTTCAATGCACTTTTATATATCTTCTTCTTAGTATTAAATATTTCTTTATTAGAAGAATTCGTACATAAACTGTTTTCTATCCCAAATGCGATGTGTTTTATAACATTTTTCCGGTGGTTGGATTTTACGTTTCACATATTTTAGATTCGCGTTGAGTTTTACAAACGGCGAAGCTGTGTTGTTAATTGGGTTAGATTAAGCTTACAAAATTTGGACGACTTATTAACTTTTATTGTAATATAAAACTTTAGACTTTTAAATAACTTCTTTCTTATTGTGTCGTTCTTTTGTCTTTTATTCGTTACCACAATGAGTCCATCATCTCGGTATAAACTATGATCGTCAATTTCGTTAATTTTTTTTCAATAACAAAATACCCATTAATTCCGGCACCTCGCACCATTGTACGATCCATGTGAGATGTCGAAGTTACCGTCTTCGGAATTTTTAATCCGCGCTTCGCTTTTGAAAAACAGCACCGACTTGCAGCAATGAAGAATTACGTCTATACATTTTGGTTTTAAATCAACGTACTCTTTAGCAAAGGCCGAGGCTTTCATCAGAATTTTTTTGGTAATAGAAGGATAAAAATTCTTAATGTGATATTTTATTATTATTTTTGACTTTTATTATTTGTAGCACGAAACTATGCAATACAGTCGGCAATTATGGTCTATTTGTTTATTTGTGTGGCAACTCTCAGTAGTTTGAATGCATCATTGTGTAACTGCAAAAAGAAAGAAAATTGTCCGTCAAATGGGGAGTGTTGTAAGCAAGAGTTGGTATAATGCGCTAACGTATAGAGCGATAATAGTACAGTCAAGAAATATATTGCTTGTACAGAGGGTCAGTTTAAAAAGAAATGGTATAACCATATTTCCTAGTTTAGGGCCCAACATGAACGATTCAACACAAGGCTCGCAGACCATTGTTAGAAGTTTAAAGAAAAATACAATAAAAGTCCCAATATCAAATGGAGTGTTCTACGACAAGAACAGGCAACATATAATTGGTGGATCATGCAATTTATGTCAATAAGAGAAACTGGTCATTGCAACTTTTTACAGTGAATTGATTATTGAAAAATCTGAAATAATGGCAAAATGCAGACACTTAAGAAAGTTTATATTAGTGAATTATGAGCATTGATGAGATAGGCAGATTATATTTTTCCCTCATATTTTTCCTCCTCCTAAGTTTTGACCGGATGTGATGCCTGATCATACCTATTATGGTTGAAACCACGGTTGTATCCTTTAGTGTCTTAGTTTTTTAAGAATATATATATATATATATATATATATATATATATATATATATATATATATATGAATATATTGACATTAATACAACATAATTGCATATTAAGATTTTTGTTTTTTTCTGTATATTTTTCTTCATATATATATATATATATATATATATATATACAGATATACATATACAGATAGATAGATAGATAGATAGATAGATAGATAGATAGATAGATAGATAGATACCCATAACTATATAAATATTGTTATCGCCCAGTGGTTAAAAATTAATGAATTTTGTAAAATATAATATCCTTCCTTGTAAATGCATATGATTCTATATTTAATATCCATCACAGAGTAGAATGCGGTAACATGAATTAATTTCATCAACATTTGACGTACGTTAGCATTTCGAACCACTCGTCAGAATGGTCAGAAAAATCTCTTGACTTCTATGTAGAAAGAAAGAAAGAAAGAAAGAAAGAAAGAAAGAAAGAAAGAACGAGCGAGCGAACAATGCTATTGTAACTCTGATATTTGAGCTTTATCAAAATCTCTGCCTTGTACGCTAAAACTTTGACGAGGGTCAGATGAAATTACACCAGATTTTTTGAGTTTGTGGGATTGCCCGACGCCACTTGCACCAGAAAATTTAGGGGAAAAAAAGATGAAAAACAGTCGTTTAATTTGTACCTTTTATAGTCGGATTACAGGCTGATGGACCAGCAATCAATAACTTCTATCTTAAAATTCTTACAGAAAGAATGATGAAGAGGTGGGATAAAAATAAATTCAGAATTACGTACTGCATATAAAAATTAAAGCATTAAAACTGAGAAATTGCATCTGACATCTGAAATCGAAGTAACGTTGAATTTTTACGAATATAAGTTATCCTTGGATCAGATTGCGAAATAAATTATCCTTGGATCAGATTGGTTGAATATTTGTTAATCATTGCATTCCCTTTATATTATTTTGGGTAAATTTGCTGATAAGGTACTTTTTTTATTCAGGTATTCGCAACAGGAGTTTTAAAATATGTAGAGGTCTTGGACCGGTGAAGATCTGCTTCAAACTTTACAACTTGCACATTTCCAGACACAATATTAGGATTTGCCTCCGTGTCAGCGCAAGAATCGCTTGGTTTCGCTTTGGTAGAAACTTGGGATGTATTCATAAAAGGTTTGCCTTGGATGGAATCCCGACAAGCATAAATAAATCAGATTCATTCAATGATTATAGAAATTATAAGAACTCCTTGACTTCAAGTGGATTTAAGTATAACGACAATATTGCAAGATTCGAACAATAACAACATCAAAAAAATGGATCGTGGCTCATCCGAACAAAATATTTCCGGTTCAATCCCATCAATATTCCCATTTAAAGTACCAGTGTAATTCTTTTTCAAATAAAATTAAATAAAAATCTCAATTTTGCTTATTGTTTATTATTATTGTTTAGCATATTCCGTCTTTTACTGTATTCGATCGACAGCCGATAGAATACGCCAGGATTAATTGGTTACCCTTACGGTTTCCTTTTTGCATATCACTTGCTTACCTGTTTTGTTGTTTATAATTGCAACACCCATAAAAATGCACCTGTGGTAAATGATCCCTATTATTTAATTCAACCTATAAAATCCATTTTTATAAAATGATTTTAACATTTCCTCCAGTTCAGTTCTTTTATTTTTTGCTCCAAAGTAATCATCACGCATTTTATTTATTTTAATATTGTATCAAGTTTGAATTTTAACATTGTAATAATCAGATAATATAATAAAATTAAATGTAACATAGTATTCAATAATAAATGTGTAATAATAACTCGGGGCGTGATAAAAGTTAAGAAAGCTTTGAGTTTGAATATGGAGGCACGGTTAAAAAGCTTATTTATAGTATCTAAGTGAGGGATAGTTTTTTCAAGGGAGACATTCGTCATCAAATGATGTAGTCCCTTTTGCTCTATACCACATTCTCGCCAGTTTTATTTCTAATCATAGAGAATCAATTTGCTCAACCGAACAAGCGTTCTGCATGCCTTGTTGGAGTATTTGAGCAACTGATTATTTTGTGTAGTCTCGGGCTTAAAGTCTTCCGGGCCTGGAGACGTATCATGTCTGCTTTGTCTAGAGTTGGTATACACCCATATTCTTCTGCGTGCTGGTTTTTCTAACTCTGAAAACAATGAGTGACAATTGGAGGGATAGATGGTAGTTTTTTCTGAGCTAACGATCGCTTGTCCTAATCTAGGTCACAATGGACCTTCTCTGTCTGATCTTCCCAAGTTGTTAGGGATTCTGTATATAAAGCCTCCTCTGAGGCCGTATCTGAATGACAGGGCTCAATGCCGACATGTTCGTCTTCAAGTGGCGCAGTAGGACCATGGGATGCGGGATCCTCTTCGGGAGCTATACTTGGTGATGTTATATCTCTAGCAGGTGTCAAATCTCTGAGAGAAATAGTGGATTCCTTTCATTTAAGTGTCGGGCTAACACATAATGGAGATTCGCTACATTTAGCTCCACCTCGTTTGTTAGAGGATTGTATTTATTGTGCCTGTAGCAGATTGTTAAATAGATTTTTAAATATTTGCATATGTTAGGTAAAAAAGAAATAGAGTGTATAGTAACGAAAGAGACGGGCGGAAGTTGACTAATGATCACGTGTCGTAGAAAAACACAATACAACAATATGGCGTCGCCGATAGGATGCTTAAGTCTCTTGGACGAACCTGAATTTGTAGAGACTTGAATCTGTTATTTTGCAGATCAGACTAGGGCTAAGAAATTGAAAGACAAGATAAGAGGAGGGAGAAAATAAAATAACTGATCTCTTTCTAGCTTCAGCAGGCCATGAAGCTATAATGAAATTTTCTCTTCAGGCATAGCCAAAAACAAATGGATAATTTGACTTTCGTCGAAATTTCAGAAATTATAAAAAGAAGTTTACGACCTAAAATGAAAGTTGTCATAGCAGAAAGAATCAGATTCCTGTCCATTAAACAGAAACAAGACGAATCAATTATGCAATATCTTCGCAGATTAAGAGAAGCTAGCAGAATCTGCGAATTTGAGAAACTTGGAATTCAAGTTTTGGTTATTTAGAATGAATTGATTCAATTACCGTTGATTTAATGTATAGCTGATACATTTCATAAATATTGGAGCAATTACATTCGAATAGTTTGTCTCTAACGACATGTGTGGAAGTTATATAACAGCTGGAACTTATTCTTCAAATATAATTCTACTGAGGACAATGAGACAAATAAAAGGCGTTGACGTTCTTTTTCAATACACAGACCTAAGAAAAAGAATTCTTTTGAAAAAATAAAATTACATCACATAACTTTTCCAATGCAAGTAGATATGGGAAGTGAAGTTACTCTGATCCCAAGAAATTTCTGGGAAGAAATGGGTAAATCGAAATTGCGAAAAAAGCCATCTGAAATGGATACAATTTATGGATCTTTTATAAAAACTTTGGTATACTTCAATGAAACTTTTGAATCCCATGACCTATTTGAAATTATCCCTATTAAAGTAGGGGAATGTAAAAAAAAAACAACTCATAGACTATTCGGTATAGATGTTCTAAAGGGAGATATGTCAAAATTAATCAATAGCATAAAAGCAGATAAAAATAAAAATAACAGCATTAATATGCTACAAAGGGAGCATAGAATTAAATGAAATATTGCCCCTCCCCCCTGTTATTTTGAATCTCGGAAATGACCTATTCAACTTGTAAATCTGGTATTTGCTAATTTAAAGAAAATTATCAAGGAAGGAATTTTGGAGCATGTACTTCCAGATGGCAGTAAATGTGACACTGTCATTGTAGACAAAGATTTAAGAATATGTAGTGATTTAAAATAGGCGTAAATAATAAAATATACTTGGATTCTTTTCCTATTCCCAATATTGAAACCGTTATCCAGATATTATTCGATATGAAATGTTTTGCAAAAATTGATTTAAAATCGGCCTACAATCAAATACATATTGATGATAAATTCAAAGAAATTGCTACAGTAAACACCACCATAGGATTATTAAGATGGATGAGTATACTTTTGGAGTGAAAATGTCAAGTATCATTTTTCAGAGAGCAATGGAAAACGTGTTAACTGACAAAATCAGTAATATGATTATTTATCAAAATGATATTTGTTAATAACAAATTAAATAAAATAATAGGACATGTGTTAAACAAATAATAAATGTGGGGATGACAATAAACAGTGACAAATGTGAATTTAATTGTGATACAATATCATATTTAGGGTACAAAATTTCAAAAGATGGTATTGCACCAGATCTAAAGTTAATTAAGAAAATTTCATAGGTATCTATTCCTACTAATAAAAAAGAATTAGACTTCTTTTTAAGATCAGTTAATCTTTATAATAGATACTTACCAAAATACAGCGACTAAATAGACCCATTTGCTGAACTGCGGTAAAAGAATAGTGAGTTCAAATAGATTCAAATTCAAAGCTTAGTATTCAAGGATTTAAAAGAGATACTAGCCGAAAAAAAAACATTTTAAAAATCTTTGATCCCAGAAATGAAGTTATGTTAACTACGTGTGCGAGTCAGTGAAGCTGTGCCAGCAATTTTATCGCAAGAGGTCCCTTAATAATATATACATCAAGAAGATTGACGGCAGCCAAAATAAATTATTTCAATATTAAAAAAAGAGACATCGGTTAGAGCCCGATTATTTTTATTAGGTAAGAAGTTCAAATTAAAGTTGGACCATAAACTTCTAGAGTTTATTTTTAACCCTTGAAAGGAACTACTAAAATTTCTTTCTTCCAGGATTCTAAGGTGGGCAATAAATTTAATGTCTTATGATTTTGACATTGAGTGCGTAAAAGGAAATACAATACCACATTTCGATACGATGTCATGGTTACAATTTAGTAAAGATCAAAAAGAAAAAAATAGAAATACCCGATTAGAAAATATTAGATTGGTTTGAAACTGACATACCTCTACAAAGATTGGTATCGGAGACTCTACAGGAACCAATATTATGCAAGGTTGCTGAAAGAATAAGAAAAAACAGGTGGAGTAATTGTTCCAAAGCTGAAAGAACTTATAAAGAAATAAGACATAAATTATCTATGGAAAACAGTGTTATATGCAATAGAGATGTGATAGTACCACCAGAAACAGTAAGAAAAGATATTTTAAAATGTGTACATGATGTACATTGTGGAATAACAACTACACAAAGGAGACTAAAATTGGAGGCATAGTGGCCGGGGTATCATCTCAACATACAAAGATATGTACAGAGATACCCAAAATGTCCAGAATTGACAAAACTTTGACAAGTAAGAATACACTTATGGCCTCATGAAACAGAACAATGGTTCCGTTTTCATATGGTCCATTCACACATTAATGACATGGAACTATTTCTAAATTTTATAGACTACTTCTCTGGAGTGCATAAAGTTGTTAAAGTTAAGGGCAGAAAAACGAATACAATTAAACAAATACTAAGAGAGGTATTTTCTAAAAACGGGCTCCCTAAAAATTAATATCAGACAACACCCCAGAATTTTGTTATGATGATCTATGTAATTGGTTGAGGCGGATTGGATGCTTCCCTTACAAAACAACACCGCATCACCCACAATCTGATGAGATTGCAGAAAGAATGGTGCAGACCGTAAAAATGGGATTAAAAGCAATTTTCTCATGTAGAGATACTATAGACGGTTACTTACCAAGGTCAACTATTTGTTATAGGACGATTCCAGATGCAAACAGATCCGAAAGCCCATTTGAGTTAATGAGAAAACAAATAAGATCTGCATTAACAATGTTTTATTCGACAAATGAAAAGATGTGGTATAAGAAAGATAAAGCAGCAAATCTTGTGAGAGTTAATTTCATCATGCATTATATCAAAGAAAGGAAAAGGCCTAATGGCCTATTCTAACCAATTATTGCCAAGAATTGAAGAAAAAGACGTGATGGACGAAGATTTTGACAAAAAAAAAGGATAAGTTCTTCAGATCAGGATAATGCAATAGAAGACTACCATAGCAGGAGTAACTCAGACACGGAAGAAGATGAAATGAGACCAAGATCACCATTAAAAAGTACAGAAAACAATCCCCAAGTGAG